GTAGTACACTGAGCAAAAGATAAGGAAGGAAAAGTTTTCAATATTTTAATATAAAAATGTAACTAGCATACTTACTCTTTTCAGCTTGTTTTCATTGTCATCAACATTAAAATAAGTCTAAAGTCTGCAGTCTGAATATGATACAAAAACAAAAATATGAATTACAGCAATGCAGGCATGTGCTTCTATTCCACACAGAATGGCTTGTTTAGGACTCCCCAGAGCCTTCAGCTCCTTCTCCACTTCTTCTATCATCATAGTGAAAGAGGTCTTAGCATGAGCGGTCAGATCCCCGGCCCCCAGCTCCGGCACGGTGGGCCCCAGGCCTTTGGGGTACTGCTCTGTCAAGATGGTGGGGATGCCCAGAATACGACTGGCCTGCAGGAGCAGTTCAAGGTTAGAGGCGACAAATGACTGCAAATTAACAACAAATAACAGCAATAACGCTTTGAAGAATTATGAATTAACAACAGCATTTAATTTCCCTGAAGGTACTTTTGAATTTGAATTGAATTAAAATGAGTTGATCAGTTTTTACAACCTGGAGGATCCGGGCTGCATTGCTAACAATGTTGGTGAACTGGAAGATGTTGGGTCTGAACTTCTCCTGCATGTCACACAGGAGGAGGACAGCATCCTTGGTGGAGAGCCTGCCGATGTTTGCCACTGCAACAGAGACATTGCAATATAAGAAATATAATATCTGGCAACACTATCAGTACACATCAAGCAAATTTCAGTGTATTTGTTGGAATTGTACATGTTGAGGCAGCATGAAGTAGTGTATCGCTGTGAAACGAAAGGAAAATCATTCAAAAATGTTAATGTTTTTATTTATACAGATAAAAATCTAAGTAAGGAATGCACTTGTATTAACTCCCCCTGAGTCAATACTTTCTAGAAGCATCTTTTGCTCTCGTTGCAGCTGCAGCAACATCTCTATCAGCTCTGTACTTTCAGAGGCTGACAGCTTTGCTCCGTTTATGTTCATATGCAGAAATAATCTGTCAGGTCTGAGAAGAAAACTTATACCAAAATGAATGCAAGGTCGTAGTTCTTGTTCTGCAAAGTAGCCACATGTAGTTGTCTGCAAATAGTTAAAAAAAACTAAAAACTAAATACTATAGTTTTTAACTCAAATACTGTGTGTATAACTTGGATTTTTTTTTTCAGTGCGTCATTTCGTAACCAAAGAAAAGAAGCGATAAAAGAGCAGCTGTGATCCTAAAATGACTTATCAAAAGTAATGTGACTTACTGTTTCTCTCCTGATGTGAGCAGGATGGGTGACAGGTTCAAGGGGACAGTAAAAACATCAACTACCAGGTTAAAGTATTATTTCCCCCGTGACGCCTCCTGCAGGGAAATATTTACAATTTAGTTGTGAGGAAAAGTAAACTTGAACGCTGAACATAAATAGCCGATAATGCTAATAACCAAAGGGAGAAAAAGGTCTGTAAAACAGACATGTAACATACAAATAAAACACCTGAAACTAACCACGATTATCGGGAAATACACGGAACACAAGACTCTATAATAAGCCCCACCTTTCAAATAATAATGGCAAATAGAATTGCTTATTGCTCAGATTGACGTCCCTTTCGACCAATAGCAGGGAATGTTTGGTGCAGCCAGGTTAGCTGAGCAGACTGAAACCAAAGTCCAGAGTTGTCAGCTAAAGATGTCCGACAATGCTGAATCTCCAACAGAAACACAGAAAGAAGAGCTACATTCACCTTCAGAAAACTCCGCGACCAGCGAGGACAAGAAAAAAAGTAAGAACGCCGAACAGATTTGACGCGAGTTAAAGGCAGGTGCTTATTTGTTTTTGATATGTCTTGCTAACGCTAAGTGTGTTTTTTCCGAGTGGATGACGTAGGGGTAATTGACAGACGTTTCAACCAATAGGAGGAATGCACATACACCGCTCACCCAATGAGCTATGGTATTTTAAACACGTGCTAAATTCAGTCGAGGAAGAAAGCTAATGCTATTGCTAGTAAAGCCACAGCATTTACTTTCCCATATTCTGTCATTTTAACTTTAGATATGCATGTCTTTGTATTTTTCCAAATGTAGTTTACGGCAGTTTATATAATCTTAGCATTTCATGTCTGTACGTTATGTTATAATTTGTAAAATAAGAATGAAAAGGTCCTGTTCGGGGTGGTTCCTCATCAACGTTTATATTGAACACTGAAATACTTTTCTTTCTTATTGTCAACATAGGACTGACAATCCTGTATGTGTTTTGTCAGTTCTAAATTCATCTGACGGTCGTTGACTGTGGTATTTATTTCCCATTACATAGTGAATTTTGTAATCAAGAATTGGAAAAAAGACATGCCATGAAAATTAAGTCCAGTCCTTGAGAACTGACGTCCTGCAACTTTTAGATGTATCTCTGCTCCAACAACCCTGAATCAAATGGCTAAATTCATTCACCAGCAGCCATTCAGCTCTGCAGAGCCCTAGTAACAAACTGTTCTTTTCATTCAGGTTGACATCCACCCCTAAACATTACTGGGCTTACAGGGGTGTTTATTGCAAAAATGCATTTCCTGCTTTTCACAGGAACTGTCACTAATGTCTCGTAAACACTGCTGCAACACAATCTGGTTTCGTTAAATGTTTTGTCTTTCTACTTTTACAGTCGATGTGCTGTTGAAGGCTGTGGGAGACGCTCCTATAATGAAAACAAAGAAGTGGACAGTGGACAGGGGGAGGACGGTGCAGTCCCTCGCTCAGTTCATTTCTCGCTTCCTAAAACTTGATGCCAATGAACAACTGGTGAGGATGATCTTTCCATTCGAAAAATATGTTAGAAATTGAGTGCTTCTGTTCTGTGAAGTCCTCACTCAGGCTGTTTGCTTTTTTGAAGTTCATCTATGTTCATCAGTCATTTGCACCATCGCCAGATCAGGAAGTGGGAGTCCTTTTTGATGTGAGTTTATAAACACTTATGATACATTATTGTGGTATTTTTAGTGTTAATTTAATCTTATCTTTTAACTTTAACATGCAATTTGTCATTATTAAAACAGAATATGTACAGTTAATTTCTTTATTCTGTTTCTATAGAACATTACAATATATAAACACAAACAGTATCTCAGCAGAATTATTTTTTTTTCCTTTTTATTTAAAGTGTTTAACAATATTCTGATTTACAATTAGGATATTCTAGAAAATTTTGCAATCGCTGCAAAGTAAGATTCCAGTAAAAAAGAATTCAAATGGTTTATAGATGCAGGATTTTTATTGGAGTTGCGTTCTGGCTGCCGGGAGGAAACTAAGACGGAATATTGTGGCCATTGTAGATCAAGAAAAAAATAATTTATCCACAAAGAAGTACATTTTTGCCAATTGTTTTCCTTGACTAAAGGCACAAATTAACTGTATTAAAATGAAGATATTCTCAGACATCGTAAAGTCAGACATTTGTAAGGGTGAAATTAATGTAGTTTGGAAAAAATTGACAGCTCTGATCACTTTTTTAATGTACAGTGACCCTAATAGGAAGTGAATAAACGAGGCAAAAAAATAAAAAATAGGTTTCACCTCTGAAGTTACCCCCTTGAATGTTTTATCTTTTTAATATTTTCACAAATCAATCATGATTAAAAAAAATAATTCCTTCATTTTTTTTTTTGACAGTTTACACAACAAACTTTATGCACACTTCTTTACTTTGCATATTTTGCTGGAACTCTTTTCACATTGACATTAATGTGTGTTTTTTTTTTATCATAGTTTATTTCCTAAAAGTAATCAAAAGGGTAAAGCCTCCAAGCGGGTGAATACTTTTTGTAGGCCCTTCAGTATCAGTACAATGACAGAATCCCACCTGCCTGAGTTGACCAGCAGAGGGCGCATGAAGAGGGAAACTTCATAGGCCAAAGCTTAAAGTCCTCAGCCAGGTTTTCCAGAAGGTGACAGTGAAGGGAAAAACTCACAGAGGAGCGTTGATTTTCACTTTCAGCTGATACACGTGTTCTTTTTATCTCGGATATTCAAATTCAGAAATACTTTAATAATCCTGAAGGGAAACTAAATGTTGTAGCTAATTAATTCAGATTCTTCAAAGAGTTTTTGAAGATGGCGGTTCTTTACATTTTCATCAAAATGCAGTTTTGTTATGTTTATTACTTCTCTGTCACTGCTTTTATTTTGCATCTGTCTTTTTCTCTCCTAGTGCTTCGGCAGCGACGGGAAACTAGTTCTTCATTATTGTAAATCTCAAGCCTGGGGTTAACTTCTTTTCTTGATGGTTAATGAATTTCTTGTATGCTCCCTCTTTCGATATGTACTGTCTTTCAGTTTGTATGTAAATGCTTTTAAATAAATAATTGTAAACATTTTTCTATGGCCTTGTTTTTTGTTTTCTTCCAACAGAAGTAAATGATGATTCTTTTCATTCGGTTTCGGACATATTCAGAAAGATACAAAAGAAAAAAGCTTTAGAAAAGCTTACGGCTGGATTCACACCCTTAAATAGTTCATTCATCCTCAAAAACCCTAAATTAAAGTCATTCTGACACCAAGAAGAGTGGAGCAAAATTCCTCCATTGATCTAAAGATCCAATATGTGTATAACAAATGTTCAAGTCAGTGGTGCTTTAATTACTAGTTTCTAGGTTTATAGGGTAATTACTTTTTCACATAGGGCTAGGTTGAAACTATTTTCCCTATTAAAATTATTTGCAAACTGCTTTTTGTAGTTATTTACATAAAAAAAAAATCAAGAGAAGAAATTTGTAAGACAGCAAACGCTTTTTCGAACTGCTGTAAAAACTCAGAAACTCAGGCTGGTGATTAAGTTGTGACGGATGTTTAAAAAGGAAGAACCTCTGAAATTAGACCAACATGAAGAGAGGAGGCACCACAGCAACAGATGGATGTGGCGAGATTATGTGAGTCAGGATGCGCATGTGACATGAACTCCAGAGAAAGAGAGTAGATTGGTGATTGGCGTGGAGGCAGATGCTCTGTCTCTCCATCAGTTCACATCTCCGTCCATCCGCAGGACTGGAGGTTTCACCGGGGAGGTAAGGACCAACGAGGGAAAATAACAGGCGATAAATGAAGAGTGTTACAGAGGCAGTTCACCATGGAGGATTTAAGTTTACGTTCCTAAGGAGCTTTTTGATCAAGAAATCTTTAACAAGAAGAGTCAAAGAAGTGACGGATTAAGTTTTTTCTTTTCTTACAGCAGAATATTTTCAGTCAAGAAGCAAAAAAGAGTTTGGGTAGGTACATTTAACATTAGAAAAATAGCTATAGACTGTGTTTTGTCTTAATAATGCATTCTAAAAAAAATATTACACCTATTGGTAGATTTCTCATAATTCCTTAAATTGTATTCAGTTATAAATACAAAGATACATTTAATGACATTCTGTCAAGCCTATTTATTTTTCACAGTAATCTTTCTCAAGATGAATGATTTAAAATGTTTCACTTTAAATGACAGACATAAAGCTGAAAGTAAACCATTTGAATGTTTGATTTTAATGAAAATTATTTTGTAGAAACAAAAGAGAATAAACATTTTTTTGTACTGCTTTTAGTATTTAAGCTGTTATCTATCATAAGATCATTTCTTCGTTCAGTCAAGCCACTAAAACTGCATCACCACCTGCAAATCCTAGGACAGTTTGTCAACTGTCCTAGTAAAGGAGAGGCCAAGTCCAGTCCTCAATAACTACTATCCTGCAACTTTCAAGTGGATCCTTACTTCAACACACATGAATCAAATGCGTTCAGCTCTGCAGAGACCTGCTAACAAATCATTTATTTAATTCTGATGTATCGGAGCAGGGAAAAGTTTCAGCAATTCAGCTCTTGAGGACTAAACTTGGCCACATATATATTCAAGGACATATATATGTCCTTGTATATTCCTTTATTTTTAAATGACCTCTTACTTGTTGGACAGGTACTAATATTGCTGGAACATTTTCACATTTTGCTGCAAACTTTTGTATATTTTGTCGGGATCTTATGTGGAAAACCAGAGTAGTGTTTTATTGTGAAATGGACCATGCATGGGGTTCAAAGCGTCTAAAATATAAACATTTGAAAAGTATAATGCACTATACTCATGAGTCAATTTGTAGAACTGTTACTGTAATGTAGCTAGCAGTATTTTCTGGTAGATCTATATAAGCTCTGCCTTGCCAGAAATGAAAATTGTGACCTGCTACTCTACAAAATATCTCAAGCTAGATTGGATCTCAAGCATCTGTGAACAGATGTTTAGAATCTTGTCCCAGAATTTTAGTTGGCTTTATGTCTGGACTTTGACTGGGCCATTCCATAACATGAATACGCTTTAAACTGAGCCACTCCATTCTAGCACTGATGTATTCTGATGTAGAGCCGACCTGCTTTAGATGAACCCCTGTCCCTATCTTAAGTCTTCTGCAGCCATTATTAAATTATCTTCCAGAACTGCCCAATGAGGACTTGTTCCGTTTTTTGTTGTTGTTGTTTTTTTTGTTTGTCTTTTTTTAACATCTCAACATTTCACTACGGTTCAGTAGATGACAGATTTGTGAAGAATTAATAGTCAACTTGTCAACAAATTCTCCAGAGCTCTGGTTGTCAGAGTAAACACGTATTCCAAATTTTATTCATAAATAATTCTGAATAATTTATAGTTTTTTTTCCCTTTCATAACTAGGCACAATTATCACATAAATAAGACATATAAAAGCTATGTTATGTGATGAAATGGTGAAGCTGTGACGAATATAAACACTTCTGCAAGGCACAATAAATGTTTAAAAGTAATGCACTACTTAAAGGGCTTGTGTAACATTTATTGAAGCAGTGTTTTATTTTAGCTGAGCACAGCAGAACTACAACTGCTACAATAAAGCATTAGCAGCTGCTAAGTGTCCCGCAGCACATCTTGGACTGTGTTTCAGCCAATGAGATCATCTTGATTAACAGCACTAAATTTAATGTCTTTTTTTACTGTTTTCTTTTCTTTCAGGGGCCATGGACTGACAGAGAGGCCCTGCTAGAGACAACATGGTCACACTAAAACACAACTAACACAGAGAGATTAAAGAAGATTTCCCAGGATTATCTTGGGGGGGGGGGGAAAGGCGTTTAAATCTGTGTCTCATCCATAGAGTCACAAAAAAGAAATTTTTTGTAATGTGCCCTGGTGTCTAGTCCTAAAAGTTCAGCTGGAGCCACCAGCCGAACTTCATTAATAATGATATTAATGACAGTCAAGTCAGTTTGTAAAATCTTCCCATAAACAAGTAAAGGAGATTTTTTTTTTGTGAACTGAAAGAGCATTCATCAAGGATAAATGTTGCCATATGTTGTTAAAGTTTCTTGACAGATAAAGAAGCCTACTTAGCTTGCAGAATGTACTACATAATACTAAAGTCCTCTTTGCCTTTCTGATGTTGCCCAGTCACTGATCTAATACCACCTCAGACAGAAGTTCAGGTCAGGGGATTTCTGGACATTTCAGTTCCCAAGAAGACCAATAAAAACTAGTTCTTTCTTCACAAATGAATCAGCCTCAGAGTATCTTATCCTGCTGCTGACTCCTTTTTGAAATCACAGATGTTACTATCTAGCTCTGTTGGCTGTGCTTATTCATCTATGATATCAGATTTGTGATTGCTTCCTGCTTAAAGCTGGCAAATCAACTCTTAAAAACCAAACCAAAGCATCTGCCCCGACCTGTCCGATCTGTTACTGCCTCCCTCCTACTTGCCTTAAATTCCTCTGTGTTGTGTCCACCTTTCGCCGTCCCACCTCCCCTGCCTCCCTCCTCCGTCTCGTGGCCATGCTCGAGCATCTGTCCCGCCGCTCCCGATCCATGCTTTCTCTGACGTTAACCTCTTTGGCTCTGGCCCTGTCCATCCTGGCTCTCTGCACCTCCTACTGGTGTGAGGGCACCCACAAGGTGGTCAAGCCTCTCTGCCTGTCACCCGTCAAAATGAAGAACTGTGGCCAGAACAACAGTGAGCCTTACACAACAGGTAATAGATGCTACACATATTGTTTAATTGTGTTATTACATGTAATGTGTGCTGCAGCTTTGATTGATATTTTAGGAATGCAAGCAGTTTTTAACAGATGTTCAACCAAAAAAAACTTTGTGACAGTTACATCATTTTCCTACTTTAACACAAAAGCAATAAAAACTGGTGTAATAACTGTTCCACTAACTTTTCATGAATCCTTTAATTCATTTCATAGTCCATAAAATACTTCACATTTATGTTTGAAGGGAATCTATTATGCAAAATTTCTTTTTTTCACATTTTTTTTAACTTCCATTTGGGTCTCAACTGCTTCTAAAAACAGCCCAATAAGAAAAAACAAAAACAAACAAAAAAAAAAAAACATCAGGCTGTTTTTGGCAATACATTAATGTTTTTTGGTGTCTGGAAAATTAGCTGTTTCAAAAACCTCCCAACTGTTCTGTTACAGCCCATCACCTAGCAACCCAAGCCACTCCAGCATGTTTGGTCAGCTGGTTTTTACCTCTGTGCGTGCTGCTGGAAAAGACAAGAGTTCTGCTGTTGACATAACATTCAGAAGCTTGCTGCATGCTTGTTGGTTGTGCAGGAGGCTCTTCTTCTGCTTTTCAAAGATGTACTGTTACAGTTGCACATCTGTTTGCACCCATTTTCACGTGTGAGCGTAATTGTTGAGATGGGGGTGTGGCCAGCAGGAATCATTTGGATTTAAAGTGACAGGTGTTCCTTTCAGAACGAGCTGATCTGAAAGGAGCTCAAAACGAGCAGAACTGACCAGAGTTTAATCTCATTGGCCAAGAATGATTTTGTGCAAAACGTTTGTGCTCTCCTATCCTAAAGGGTTCAAATAAGCATCATTAGACTGTGGAAAATATTTAATTCCACTTTTTGTTGAGACATGTTAACATGGGCATGTCACACTTTGTTTTTAGCAGAATCTGATTCTTTATGCTGAATATCAAACCTTATGATTTTTGCACTGGGCCTTTGTTGCATATTATAGTTATTTAAAAGGTTGAATCCAAAAATCCCAAAACTGCTGAGTTATAAACAACCGATAAAGTTTCTTCTGTTTGGGTGGTTTTGCCCAAAACACACACTCAAACATAGATCAATAAATACAGGAATAGACTGATTAAACATGGGTGGTATTGGTAACAAAATTCATACTGAGTACATAATTAAATTTAGATTTTATGAGTTGTTTTTTCAAAATATCATTCATCCATCTATCGATCAATTTTTTTAAATTGTTCCCATTATTTAGTACTTTGAGATTTTGCAATGGGAAGTGCACTAGAGATAAAAGTATAATTATTATTTTTTAACGTATCTTCAGTCAGGATTCAAAATTAATAAAAGTTTGGGAAAGTATTTGTGTTAAATGAAACCTTTTCACAAATGTCTGACCCGGAATTCACCGAAAACTCTCATCTTGAGTTTCAGATCAGCTTATTGAATGGTGATGAACTTTTGATGAGTCTTTCAATCTTTAAACCACCTCTGCATAACAAGCTGTACCTAGAAATAATCCGGATAGATCATCAGTCCTGTAGAGACAGTGATTTTTCTCGTTTTAATCTCTTTTGTCAGAAGGTGAGGGGTGGGGTTAATTGGGATTTAGTAAAAGTCTTCGGGTTACAGCAAGCCGCCTGCTCTCAGTGGTTTCTGTTAAGCTTGATCCACAATGAGATTACTTTGATCACTACTTGTTTTATTTGTGCAGAGAGATCTGCTTTTATTGACGCACACTGTTCTGAAAACTGCTTTAGAAAAGGCACATGGCGCAATGAAGTACGTATTAACAGGGATGCATGTGACTGCATAGTTCATGCTTGGATAAGTTACAGTTGTTATGTTTTCAGGTGTTTCTGTATTGCTTGGACAGGATTATTGAGAGGGTTTTCATGGGACTTTGGATGTTTTTGCAGATCTTGAGAGGCCTTGTATCCCTTGAGGTATTTTAAAAACAATGATGTTTTTAAAAGCTAGCTGGATAAACAATATAAGCTTGCTGTATCCTCATCCCCATCAAAAGGTTGGATTTCTTCCTGATTCAAGATGGACTCCACCAAACTGCCCTTTGTCACCAATCTTCTTTGCTCCTTGGAGCTGAGGACTTTGTTTGCAAACTTTGGAGTCTTGCCTTTTTCTTCTAACAGAAGATTTGTTGGTTCTTCAGGCCATGTCCTTCAATGGGGATCGGAGTGGTTCACGTAAAAGTACAAAGTTATCTTAGTCAGAAGTCGTGGTTCTTACCTGCAAACCTCTTTTTCTGGCTTGTAGTCTCTGCCTTAAGCGAAAAAGTTCAAGTCCGTTGGTACTATAAATAAATAACACAACATAACATCACATTACAAAATAACAAATCCAAGCAGAAGAAAAACCTTTGGAAATCAAATTTGTTTAATATAAATACTATGCTCAAAGTAGGATGTATTAAAGATCTTTACTATAAATGTCAGAACAGTGTAAACTATTTACAATTTATAGGTGTTTGCTGTTCTGGTTCCATCTCCAAATGTCCCAGAAGATTCAGCAAAAAGAAAATAACATTCAGTGCTTCTGTATAAACAAGAAGTTTCACTTTAACATAAGGTATAGGTGTGTCTGTATTTAATTTTTGCTTGTTCTTCATTCACTGAAGGTACGTGGAGTGGGTAGAGTAGTAAGACTTTTTATTCAAGAGTAGCGATACTTTGTAGTATTTTACTGAAGTAAAAGTAAAATATGCAGAAAAGCTACTCAAAGTTTGTTTTATTTTTTTTTATCTCTTTTTAAAGTTATTTACATTCATGTAAATTAGTAAATGTATCTAGTTACTACTCACCTCTGTCCAGAACTCACTGGAACAACTTTAAAATCTGTTGTTGCTCGATTTTTTAAAAAAAGTGTTGCTGAAGAATTAATGTTTTGACTTTTTTAGCATGTCGGTTTTTCTCCATAAGTTAAACTTTCACATATGTTTGCTGTTTATGTAGAGGATGGTAAAGATAATATAGCCTTTATTTCACTGCGCGGCTCCTAAAAGGTTAGAAAGGTAGATTCTCTATGAGGTGCAAAGATTTTTTGCTACCAAGGTGCAAAAGTAAACCTAAAAAGCTTAATTTGTCTCCTGTCACACAGAGAGCCCCACACAAAACCCTTTCAACCGCACGTTGTCTCCAGCCAGAAGAGATGAGCTGGACAAGATCAGACAAAGACAGCTGGCCAATGCTGTACACTACATCTGGGAGACAGGGGAAGACAAGTTTGCCTTCAGATATTTCCATACAGGCTTCTGGGAAAGCTGTGAAAAGCAGAATGATGGTGAGACCAAGATGCACATTTTGACATATTATATCATATTAGCTCTTCTTGTAGAGAGAAGTGGGTATGTTAGTTGTAAAAGATCTTTATGATCATCTAAATCTGCACATGCTGTTGGCAGGAGAGGTGTGTCGCAGCTTTATCGACTTAACTCCAGGGGATACACAAGGTGAGCAGTGTTATGGAAATTTATTTTATGTAATATATATTGTTTCATTTAATGTTTCTTTACATCTGTTCCCACATGTTGCAGGTGTGCTTTGGCTGTCGGTTATTTCTGAGTTTACATATATTGGCCTGCTGGGGATGGGCTTCTTACTGATGTGCCTGGAAGTCATGTGCTCCCATAAAGAGATGCACGCACTAAAAATCAATGCCTTCGCAGCTATTTGTACTGTGCTATCAGGTGGGGATGCAGCTTGGATTACAGTGCCAATCTCAAGTGTTGGCCCCTGGTAAAGATGTGGAAATAGTCTTGAAATAAATTCATCTTTTGCTGCAGGAAGATAATCTCACACTAAAAAGTGTAACACTTGAGAACTGGAATTGACAAACATGAGATGGTTACAAGAGAATAGCTGCGTATCCATATTTACTCATGTATCTCAAGTGATCATGTGAAAATCTGAAACAACTGTGTGTTAAGGATCATCAGGCCACTTGGAGGTGACATTTTAATGCCATAGAAATGCTCCAAAGTGCTCAAGTAACTATTAGCTGAATCAGGCTTTAACTTTGCTTAAATTTTTCTTGATCTGCCATCTTAAAATGAGATGAAATCAAGTTATTAATGTGTCATTGCTGCGATATTTCAGTTGCAGTTGCATTGATCCTTTAGCAGTCGCATACATGTATGATAGAGTATCACAAAGTTGACAATGCAATGACTGCCTGAGAGATTTCTAAAAAACTCAATGAGAGGTTGTGTTACTGCAATTAAACATGAATTTATTTGGAGGCTTTTTGCACGCCTTTTCCATGGGCGCTCTTGTCTTTGAATGGTAGTTCAATGCTAGTTTTTCATTTTGGTTTGCTTCCTGCCTAGGTCTTCTTGGGATGGTAGCACATATGATGTTCACCACAGTATTTCAGATGACAGTCATCGTGGGCCCTAAAGACTGGAGGCCTCAGTCCTGGGATTACGGCTGGTCATTTGCGTATGTTGCTGCTGATCAAAAACAGAATTCAAACTCAAAGTTATCTACATGCTCTAAAGTTTTGGTCGCTTATCTTTGAATTGTATTTTTCAGCCTCGCCTGGGTATCCTTTAGCTGCTGCATGGGGGCTGCTGTCGTCACACTCAACTCCTACACAAAGACTATCATTGAGATCCGTCGCAGGCAAAGACTCCGCTTGGACGAAGCAAGAGCTGCTGCTCGAGCCCCATCATACGATGAGGTGGTTCCAGGAGGAGGGCTGTACTCCGTTAGCGGCCTGCTGCACTGTCCGGATGGGATGATTGATGTGGCTTGGGCCCCGAATGGTAGCGTGGTCGGAGTGGGAAACGGGGACGTACCGACACTGGTTTTAGTGGGAGGCTGTGGCCCAGAGGGGTGTGAGGACTGCGAGCGTGAGAGGGACCAGATGGGAGTGGTCTTGGATCGGATTGATTCACCTTGTTAGGAGGGACGGCTATTCACATAAACTAAAAGAGCGAAAAAAATCAGTAAAAATAAAACTCTGCATTGTTGCAGTGATCAGAGATGCAGGTTTGCTTTGACTTTTGATTCGTTGGAACACATTTATGAGTCAAAGGTCAAACAAATTGCTAAACAGAAGTGGAAAGTGGAGTTGAATCAAGTCACCAAAATGGAGGCTTCTTGCTTTGTGACTTGCACTGAGAGAAACATCCAACCTTCACTTTGCATCAACCTGTGATGTTTGCTGTGTGACTGCAAGTAGCAAGTGACTGCTCGAGTCCAAGATTGAGGTATATTTGGAGTTTGAAAAGGTCTGTCATGGGAAACCTTTCTCAGTTCTTAAGTTTTGACACATAGATGCTTAATAAGATGGTTAATAAACAATAGAACAAAGAAAAGGTTCTGCAATGGAGGCAGCAACGAAAAAAAGAAATCACTGGAAAATTATCCCACCATAAATATCCCATTTTAATTGTATTAAATTATTAAGTTCACATTCAAAAAAGACATAAGTGGGTCTGACAGGCTGCAAATGACGCCCACTCAGTTAACTCATATCAAGACGTGAAGACTTCGAAGCAAATCTGCATGTCATGTGTGTCTGTGCCTGATGATAACAAAACAAATGTATTTTTCCACATGTAAAAATGGTTAAAATGTTTACTGTATTGGTTACAATGGACGTCCACATATTTGCAGTTCAGTATAAGCAAACTCACATATTTGCAAATATTTTGTGGCATGTGACTCAAAATTATTAGTGGAATTAAGTTTTTGCTAACTAAGATGCGAAAAAAAATAGAGCATGGGAAGATAAAACACCAAGGCACAACAGTACTGGATGATGTTTGCAAAGTAGTCAATTCTTGTCGCTGACTGGCTGAACTCTTAAGAGCAGAAACCTGGAAGACTGAAAGTATTAGTTTTTGTGAACATACCAAGATTGTTTTGACTGTGCGTTTTAAATCATATTTAGGGATATTTGGAGTTTGAACTATTAAAATGGGCGATTATAAGCGTTTTAGAGAGGAATTTAAATATTCACAGATTTTGGTGATTTTGGCACCGGCGGTTCACTATACACCTTCAAGTCAGCAATTTATGTCACATTTTGTCTCAACAGTATATAGAATATCTAATAATTAATCTGAGCTGGACATTGAACTTGATTCTTTTTTCAGCGTCTGCTTTATCTGATGACAAACTTACGTCAAATGATGAACCTTCAACCAAAAGAGCCACCAAATACAGTTTTTGTGTGAAGATGAGCAGACAGATCCACAGAGATAAAATGATTACAGAGATTTTGGAAAAGTCTGCTCTCATGTTGAACAGAAGATTATGTGTAAACCATTAATCCTGAGTTGGACGGAGCAGAGAAGAGACATGCTGAGGGGACAGACAGGACCGAGTTGTTGGGGGGTCAGAATGAAAGTTGGAAAGAAATTCTGGCACACTTTTCAAAAAGAGACTGACTGCATGCACTCATGCACCCAGCTTCACCGTAACGTCAAATAAATCCAGGTTTTGTACATGTGCTTGCAATACTTACTGAGTTTAACAAAAGATTATGTAGGCATTAATTCACAGAGCTAGATAAAATGGCATAAATGTACCTTCAATATCTGTAGGTTACACTTTTGAGATTATCCAGGATTTACTGTTGGAGATTATACAATTGAAAACAAAAAAAAACTAAAGAAAAAAGAAAAAAAACTAAAGCGCCATTTTTGTCAGCCACAACAATAATGGTATAAAGTAAGTTTCTGGGTCAAAAAGGAGATTAGTGGAACAGATAAATAAATTGATTTCCAAACAACAGATGTATGAGAAAACCTTTAATTTATTATTCAGTGAATAAAGTACAACACTTAAGAGCTAAAATCTCAATCAAGATATTTCAAGCCTGTAAAAAAAAAATACTAACAATTAGGTTTTGTATTCCTAACATGTTGTTCTGCAGAAATAATTTAAAAAAAAAATACTTTTAAAATTCACCAGTAGTACAATATAACCGATGCATACTGCTATTTTAAGTGCATTAGTTTATATGTAGTCATGATGTTTTTGGGGGACTGTAAGAACTATTCCATAATTTGCTTCTACTAGGTTCTGTTATATTGACATTTATTCACAAATAGTAAAACAACAACAAAAACAATCAAAAACTTTCTTTAAAGTTATAACGGAGCAGAAATTAGTATTTACACAGATGGACGAGCGAAGTGAACGACGGCATCTGATGTGAGGAGGAGAAAACGAGCTTCAGGAGTGAAAGACAGGAAGAGAGGGAAAAGTAGGAGGGACTTCATTGTTTAGGGGGTTCGTACTGAATGAGACGCATTGCATTCTCGTTTTCAATCACTCCCTTGATGAACTCTCCTTCAGCCAGTCGCTCTGTGATGGAGTGAGAAAAAAAACATGTCAGAAAACAGTGAACACAGGAATGAAAGAGAAGCACAGAAAAGGTTGAGTAAGGACTCCATAAATCCACTCTTATCTCTTGTATTTGTCACAGCGGCAGTTGCATGCAATGATAGTGTCACTTAAGGTTTTGCATGACTAAAGGATTTTACACACAAAATGAAGGTTTTATGGTTTAAGTGTGGATGTTCTCCAAGTGGATCTACGTCAGGTTATTTTCGTATATTTCAAATAATAAATCGAAGGTTTTTTTTTTTTTTCTGTTTCTTAATCATCAGTTTTAAGAAACCAAGTATTCCTAAAACTGTATATGTTTTCAATTATAGAATATCTTTATTTTTTCTAAGAAAAAATAAATCTTCCAGAAAGCTGAACAAGAAAAGTGTTTTAAATCACTTTGGGTTTAACATGTTTTACTTCGACATTTAACTCGACAACTCAAGCAACTAAGTTTGAAGAGCAAAAATAAATCTGCTCTTATTCTTAAAACAGATTTATTTTAATTAGTAAACAAAAAAAGTAAAATAAACATCGTGTTCAGTTTAAAAATAAATTCCATATCAAATCTTATTTTAATTTTAATTTTTTAAACTAAAATGTTTTTTTAATTAAAAAATATTTGGAAATATCTTTCAATTCTAAAGAATATTTTTTAGAAGATACAAAAAATCCTAAATATTTCAAATGACATAAATATATCATAAAAACAGTTGTATTAGTGGTAAACATACAAATATTACAAACTAATGAATGTTTGAAATAACTCATAACACTTGCTTTTAACAATCAGAAAAAAAAATAATTTACTTGTAACATTGATTTTGTGTGCAGTAAAGCCTTTTAAATCTATGAATAATCATACAAATTGTAATCTACAAGTATAGTAAAACAGGCTTTGTAAATATGAAATATTTGACTGATTTGTTTAGTTTCTTTTCCCCCACATTAGACCACAGAACCATTATAAGTAGCTAATATATCTGTAGCACACCACTATTAAGCATAAGAATGCTTCAAACCAGTCCAACTACAGAAAGTGTAACTGTGATATAAAAGACAAACTGTTTTATGAAAAATGTGTCAAATAATCTATTTTAAGAAAACCTTTTAACATGACATGCTGCTGGGGGTTGAGTTATATGTGTAAGACTCCAAAATCTGATGAAATATATAACAGGTTTTAACCCTCCTGAAGATTTATTTGCAACAAAAAAGTGTAAAAATTGTAAAAATTGTTTTTTGCTTTTAATTTAATACATTTTGGGGAAACATGAATGTAGATAATACTTTAAAGGCAAACAAAATTTAAATTTGTTAAATAATTATAACAGAACAACATAGTCCTAAATTCTTTTGTTTTTCAAAAAAATCACCACAAATAGACATTTTGCAAATTTAGCTTTTATTACATTAAGGGAATTAGTTCAATTAGTTATTAGTTCAATTCAGAAATTCAGGTTATTTTAGAAAAAAAATGTTGATCAAAGCAAACATTTTCTTTTCCTTAACTGTTACAGTTTTATTTAAAATATACTGAAACTGACTTAAACAGAAAATCATAATTATTTTAGATGGACAGTTTTTAATTTAATGTCACAGTAAACCCAATGTATAAAAGATGTGTTTGAATATGGAGCAAAAAAAAAGATAAACCAAATATATGAATGTAAAAATAAAATTTGTAGATTTTTATTCATAAAAATGCCCCATTGATGGCTCTGCTTTACATTGCAGAGGTAGAATGCGGTGTTCGTGTGAAGCCTCTCACCATTGTCTTTCTTGTCAAAGTAAGCCCACAGCTTGTTGGCTCTCTTCTCGGGTGTGTTCTCATCCTCTGGTAGCTTCTTCTGCTCGTCCTCGGGAATCAGCTTAAAGATGGCCTGAGAGGCGGGGGTTGGGTGGAGAAAAAGAAAAACAGGATGAAAGTGCTGCAACTCTCCTTCTCAGCTGCACCGAACATGCACAAATCAAGGAAATGAATTAAAACAGATGCATGTCAAGTCGTGAACACTTTAGAAAACTAAATGAATCGACATTGTTTGTGTGTGCTGTGAATTTGAGCCTTTGGTTTGAAATTCCCCCTGCAGCAGATATTCTGGAAAGATTTAAATAAAAAAAATTCTATATTAAAAACAAAAGTTTGCAGCATATGTCAAAAATAATGACAAGTCCTCAGCTGAAGAGTGCAAGCCAGTCAATCTGCAAAGAGCCACTTAGAGTAAAGGGGGCTGAAAAAGACTAAAACTCTGTGTACTTCAGGTTCAGGCCTTTAAATGTGTGTCCCACTTAGAGAGGAAGCTCTCATCTCCCAACATTTAAGACACATAGATTAACATGGATTAGTGCCAAGACTCAATCTGCCAGCCAAAGGATCCTGAAGTCAATTCTTTCTCTTACTTCACTTTACTTCAGTCTCGCTGCACTGACCACATGGTCTGCATAGCGCATATAGTGTAGTTAGACATGGCTATCTATTCATAATCTTGTTATCTCAGTCTAGTTAACAAGGTTGTGAGGATGCAGTCATTTATAAACATAGAAAGGAGCTGTGCCAAAGCGGCTTATCAAGATCAAATAAAGTCTGCTGTTTACGTCATTTATTCTGCCCAGATGAGGCTTTTGTTTCATATTTAATTTCAAATATAAATTTAAAAGAATGTTTTGTAAAATGCCGTATAGTTTTTGTTCCTAGACAAGGTTTTTTTGTATTTTTTTAAATTCAAGACAGACTTGAACATAATACGTTGTTCAAGGCTACTTCTTAGTTTTGTGAATAATTTCTTGTTAAATTTCTTTGAGTCTTGCAGATGTTTTGAAATGCAGCTATTTCACATAGTCACTGTAAACATGACTCTTTGTTGGACCGAAGCCAGTTGGCCAGGAGATAAATCCCATTACAATTCAAGCTGGATTCTCGGCTGATCTTCCTAAACCTCTTACAAATCTGTATCATTTGTCTTAAAACAGAATATGCAGGCTGATGCTATGAAAACAATGTGTGGTATTTAGCTTGGTGCAGCAGAGTCCAACACCTGTCAAGTAAAAGATTAGACCAAAGATGACTGATAGTCTCACTATCAGAGGTAGAGCTTGAAAACACCCCCTTGCTACTGTCTGACTCTGCCTCTACTGTCTGACAGCTAAACCAATAATCAGAGAGATTATCAGGAGGTCAGAATGACAGGCTAATTGGAATGACAATCAAGACTGAGACCTACATGTGATGACAAGGGTTGATTATCTCCATTTGTAGGCAACAACAGCTATGATGGAACAAACAGAAGACAAGCAAAACGAGAAAACCCAAGCCATGTGCTGCTCAAATTTTACATTTAACAAGCACATAATGCAAAATGTTAATCTCATAAGTCTCACAATCACAAGACTAGTGCAAAACTGTTGAGTTGGATTACATAATGCCAGCTAATATGCATAAAACTCACTATTTCAGCGTTGCTTACTAACCAGTTTGAGAGAAAAGTAAACAGGGAGCCACACAATGGTCATTTCTAAGTGAAGTCAGCCTTCCCACTACATCGACCTTTTCACCTCTGTTTCTTCTATTCTTTAAAGCTGACCTCACCTGGCAGATTTCCTTCACCTCCGACTTGTTTATGTACCCATTTTTGTCCACGTCGAACAAAGAGAAGGCCCACTCAAGTTTCCTGGTGGTCTTCCCGCTGGAAGTCATGTGCAGGGCAATGATATACTCCTTGAAGTCTAACGTGCCGTCATCGTTGGTGTCAAAGGAACGGAACACATGCCGTGCGTAGCACTTGGCATCGGTTTCGGGGAAGAACCGGGTGTAGATCTCCTCAAACTCCTCCGGCGAGATGCGCCCCGTGGGACACTGCTTCTGAAAGTTCTCATACCACTGGCAGATTTCCACCTCCGTGAATTTGGTGGTGAGCTTGAGATCCTCCAGGATCTCCTTCGATATCGCGCTGCTGGTGGCATTTCCCATGGCAGTTGCTTTCAGAGTCTTGGTCAGCTGTCAGTTTTGTGCTTCTTCTCTCAGTCCTTCAGATGCTTTTTCTCTCCTGTCCAAAGAAACTGTCTTGAAATATGTTTTTTCTCACTTGTTTGAGTTTTCTTGATGTCAAATGCCAAACAGAATCCTGAAAGACATTGTAGATATGCCATATGTTACATGTCAAACATAGAAGTTATCTACTTTATAAGTACCATTATGATGATGATCAAAGCTACCCAGAAAGTCTTACCTGGGGTTTGTGTGAGTAGCAGATAATGGCTGAACAACTGTTTGTCTCGTCTGCCGAACGGTAACAGATAAGGATGGCGAAGGGAAACACCCCTCCAGGAGGTGACTAGGTTAATTCTGTTAATGCGGGATTTAAAGTGGATGAGTGTTTGACCAAAATGAACCCACTATTCTA